ACTCACCCCCGTCTCGGCCACCCGGTAGCAAACCTGACCTGACCTAACTCTGCCCTCCAGGACCTTCTGCTCCAGAAGACACCTGGGCTCTGAAACCAAGGGGTCTGCTGCCAGGTCCACCTTCAGCCTGAGGACAACGACAGCAAACCCCTGCCTCCACATTCTCCCCAGAATGTGCAGAGTTTATGCACATTCTGATTCGACTCTCGCAACTCTGAGGTAGGAGGAGCACGACAGTCACGGATAAGGAGACTAAGCTCATGGCTGGCCAAGCCCCTGGCGGCGGGGGGCACTGGAGCACGGATGGTCTTCAGCTGGAGCACCCCCAGCAGCCCACCTCTCAGCGGGTGATGGGGATCACCACACAGCTTCTCAGCAGATCCAGCCTCACTCTTGGCTGAGCAAGCAGCTGAGGCTACTTGAAGGGGCCCCAGTATCCATTACCCAGATCCAAACAGCAGTCATGATCTAGACTGGGGCGGTGGGGGGGAGGGCGGCGGCTAAGCTATTCATTGTTGTGAGGCTGTGCCTTCTGAGCTATGCTTTCCACAGCCTTTGGCAACCACGGAACATAACTCCTCGAGACAGGGTGGAGGCAGAGCTAGAAGCCACCGCCCTGCTCCCGGCTGAGCCCCAAATGACCACAGCTCACTCCAGCTGATGTCGAGAGAACATTTATTCCACCTGGTCAGCCCCGGCAGGTCTCAGTGACCAACGGAAATATCCAGCGTGGACACCATCCCCACGCACTCCTGCGTAGCCATGTGGGGGGTTCCCTCCTGTCCCACTGCCTGAGGGTTCCTACAGCCATTCCTGCCCCAGGCGAGCCAGCTCATGGTCCAGGCAAATGCACCCACGTGTGAACTCACGGGCCCTCTCCTCCTCACCACCAGTCACCCCACAGCCTCCAGCACTTGACCCATCAGCTATTCGACAAGTATTCCTGAGTGTTATGAGCCCAGCCCCGTGCTGGACCCTGTTCGGGTTCAAGAAGACACGGCACATCCCTTGCCCTCAGGGAGCTCACAGTCTAGCTGGAGACTCAACACACACACATGCACACGCGCACAGAAAACCCGAGTACAAGGCTGCACGTGCTACCCAAGGGTGAGTTGGCATGGTAACACAGGGACTGTTCGGAGGACGAGGATGGAGGGCCTGGCAGAGAAGAGAGCTCAGCAGGGCAGGGGAGGGCCACGTTTCGGAGCAATTCAAGGGAAGACAGAGAAGGCAACAGCGGATGTGGACCACACGGTTACAGGGAAGGGAGGAGATGAGAGGACAACCACGGAGAAGGGGTGCATCTGCGAGGCTCCCTCCAGGCGGGCCAAGGATCAGAGCACGTGACAGCTTCTAGAGTGCAGATTGTTCCTCTTCCTCTGATCTCCCCCAGAGCGGTTTGGTATTCCAGGACGAGGCAGATGGCAGACAGCCCATAAGAACCTCTGCACCAAACCGCATGGGAGACAGGACCAGCAAGGTCCCGGGCTGGGAGCCGGGGAGGCCTCCCGACAACCCTAACCAAACCCCAGCTTGGCCCTGGGACCTCCCACCTAAACAAACTCCACTGTGCCCCCCACGACTCACATTGCTGGGCTTTGATCTAAATCCCATGTCTATAGGCCTCTCCCCACCCCCAAGGGTTTCACTAAATATAACCTGCAACATGACGTCTGGGTTGTCATCAAAAACCCATCCCAGCCCTACTCGGCCACACCTTTTCAGATTGAGTGGTTCATTCTGAGGAGGCCAGTGAGCCCCAGGCCAACCTGCTCCCACTGTCCACGCACGGAACACTGGCAGGCCCCAGGAGCGAGGCTCGGTCTTCCTCCCCAGCCTTCCCCACACCATGCCCGGCTGCGGCTGAATCCTGGTCTGGCAGGAGACAGCCCTGCTGCACTTGGCTGCTGGAAGCAGGATCCCTCCCCCAGGTAGACTGGGCCCAGGCTCATGCTCACCCCACATCCACGGAAGGTCCAGCTTTCCCCTCCACCTCCACGGTGAAATCGGAGTCCAGGCTGCGTGGTGAAAACCAGCAGCCAGGTAGCCAGAGCAAAGCAGCCCCGAACCAGAGAAGAGCAAACCCAGCCCAGGGAGCCTCCAGCAATGTCCGCAGAAGGCAGGAAAGGTTCCAGAAGCCTGATGCACTGTCAGGCCCGGGGGAAGAGAGTGACTGGAAGGGTCCCCTCCTCAGAATCCTTTATTCCTGAACGAGGGAAGGAAGTTCAGCCAGGGGAGGGAGAAATGCTACTTGTATGGTGGCCCAGGATCTACGCCAGGTGAGGAAGGGTTAGGTCCGAGAGCTCTGAACTTGCTTATAGATTCTCATGTCTACATGAGTATGCGTGTTTTCCTGGTGAGAAGGTTCATAACGTCTGTGAGATTTTCAAAGGGCTTCATGCCCCCCACGCATTAAGAACCATCGCTCTGAGAGCCAAGCCTGCTGCAGGTATGGGTCACCCCTGGGGCAAGGCTTTGCCTCTGGAGCCTGGTCTGCCACCGACTCGCTGTGTTCTCTTAGGCCAGTTACTCCCTGTCTCCGGTGAGCCAGGCAGGTGCAGAGAAGCCGGCTCTCCACGCAGGCACTGTCCCTGCGGCCACAGGAGAGTGGACTGTGGCCGGGCAGCCAGGACGAGCTCTTCTCCAGCTGTCACTCCCATCGTGTTTGGGGAGTTCTTCCACCAGGGCACAGAAGCCGCCTCCAATTCCAGGCTGCACGGGTCCCCTCTGCAGGGCACCTCCCGAGGTAGGTCTTCTTAGGGGACGTATCCTCATGCCAGTGGGCAGGCCCCCACGGGGCCCCATTTCTGGGCTCTGTGCCCAGATGTGCCTGACACACCGCCCAGAAGGCCTGCCCACTCCACATCTGTTCATGGAGACAAAGAGACCAGGGTCAGGTCTGGGGCTCTGACACGGCCCTGCCCAGCCCCTCCTCACCACCCCCCCTCCCGGTGGCTAGGCGGGAGCGGTAAGCTGGGCCACCCTGCACTTGTCTGAAGCTCTGAGCCAGTCCTCTTAGCCCCCTACCAAACACTCCAGGATTATCGATCCCATTTACCACTGAGACAACTTGAGTTCAGGGCATTCGAGCTCCAGATGTCCCAGGTCCCAGTTAATCTCATCATCTCTGCCACTGAGTACTCGTCCACAGAGCAGCGGCCACATTGCTGCAGCCACCTAGTGGCAAGCAGAGGGCCACCGACCCCCACGGAGCCCCAAAGCTCTAAGGAGGGGCAGAGGGTGGGGACAGGTCTCCAGCACCTAGCAACGTGGTGGCACAGGCTGGGCACAGAGCAAGGGCTCTGTAAGTGCAGGTCACCTCCAAGCCCCCAACTCCCTTCCTCCCAATCCACTACTGTGGATGTCATGCCCGCCGCCAGGCCCCCACACCACCCAGGGGTACCCCTGCCCAGGATCCTACCACCTGGTCTCCAGTCACATTCCCACATCCTTGACATCCATGTGACATCCATCCTTGACATCCCATATCCTCCCACATCCATGTTCCCACCAGTAAGAGCCTCCCTCACAGGCAGTGTGGTAGGGGGCCAGGCTTGTACTGTTCACCACTAAGTACTAAGTGAGATTTGGAGCAAGCTTGGGTGAGCCTCAGTTTCTTCATCTGCTAAATGGCTGAAGAAGCCTGTGCTTTGGAGCACCAACGTGGAATCAGGGGACTGGGGGCCAGTCCTGGCTCTCCCCTTGGTCAAGCCCCTTAGCCAGGGGTCTCATTTTCTCTTGCCCAGATGACCCCACAACCCTTGAGGTTCCTGCTCATCCCACTTTGACCTGTCCTCACAATGCTTCCATTTCTCATTGAGCTGCATGTCTGAGATCACCATGCTCTCCTCATTAAACATCTTGGTGTCCTCTCTCCCTGGCCACAAAGTCTTTTGTAGGACAAACATGAGCCTCCTCTATCTAACTCCTGCCTCAGAGACCTTGCACCTTCACTCTCCCTGGAGCGCTTCTCTTCATCCCCAGAACGCAGTTCAAGCCATCAGACTGCCTTGGGGACACCAATCCCCTACCCCCACCTCCCAGCGCACGTTCTAGTCTGTCCCTTAGGATAGCCTGCATCCCCTGGGTAGGTACCAAGTGCCCCCCGCCCAAGGTTTTGTGTCTGTACCTCCTCCCAAGAGCACAGCACTGTGCACGACACACCGGGGTGCTCAATAGATGTTTCTGGACCAGTGAAGTCACCCTCTCTTATGTGGTAATGTTTAACTACAATCCTCACAATATCCCAGGGAGGAGTCCAATGTTAAATGCAATTCACAGATGAACAGACTGAGTCATGAAGTGAAATGACTTCTAAAGTACACCAGAAGTGTTAGAGCCAGGAGAGCTTGGGGGCTGAGGGCGGCCTGGGCATTATGGAGAGTGGCCCTCTCCAGGTGGCTTTCAACTCTGACATTGTGGGAATGAAGATCTAGTAAGAAGCGAGTCATAGACCCAGAGCTCAGGGCACCCCTCCTCTCCTGCCTGTCCCCTCCCCAACCCCTGCCCAGGCCTGAGAGGGGCTCCGGCTGGCCCTTGGCTCTCACCTACTCTAGGCCGGGTGAGCCTGAGGAGGAAAACCAACGCAGGGGCCCGGAGCAGCTGTGGGCGGCCAGCCAGAGGGTGGAGACACGGAAGGAGGCGTCCCAAGCCGGGCAGCGGCCCACTCCTTCAAGACCCCAAGCCAGCCCTCCGCGTCTCCAGGGATCGCATCCAGAGCGGGGGCCGCAGCCCAGCGCCGTCTCCGTCTCCGGGGGTCATGGACGCGGCCCCGGGGCGGGGGAGAGGCGGCGGCAGGCCCGGCGCGCCTCAGAGCACGC